ACTTCGCATTAAGTGCATTCAGTTGTTGATGTGTCGTGAACATTTCGACGGATTGTGTTAAATCGCGCGACAACGATTACCGGTAACATCATCGGTGAGACTGATTATCGGCGCGTTAAGAACAAGAAGAAAAAGAGAGGAGGAAACGAAGGAAGAGGGATTCGCATAATTTAATGACAAACGCGAGGGAAAATGATTACACGCAGCTGTTTAGAGTGAAATAAAAACGAACGTTAATTTGGCAGACGAGTCGACCAGACGAGCGTCGGCCGGCCGCATTTATTGGATCTGCGAAGCGTCCAATTTAAATGCCACCTGCTGTACGAAGCGAGAATCCAGCATTCCTCTAGGAATTATTAATTTTCGTGGCAAAACACGCAGAGTCGTAAATAACTCAGTTATCGGTTTAAACCGAACACTAACCGCCCGTAAATAATCCTCCCCGTTAATAATACTTGACGAGAGTTTAAAACAAGCGGCTTCGACTCCTCGGTCCCGCCGCCCACTTTGAACTTTTATTGTTTTCGGATATACCACCTGACGATAAATAATAAATTCCACTAGCAAGTTTTGAAAATGTGTGACATATTTTCTCTTACAATCGATATGATTTTTAGACATCGATATTTGTGCGTACATACGTATATGCGTATATGTGTGCACTCGTTTGTCCGGTCTGTTATTCCGAATTTATTTGACCATTTTTACACGCGCGGCCAAGGTACGCGCAAAAAACATTAGACAGATATTTCGTGGCATAAAATAACAAACATCGTTTGTAGATAAAAAATACAGTCCACCGTGAGAGATGATGAATACATAAACTATAGATAAATAAATCTAATCAAACGTTATTCCCTCAGAGTAAAACTACGACCCACCTGTGAACAATAGATAACAAATTAATGATCGCGATGAGCAATATGTAGAGCTTTAAATAATGTACACCTAGTTGGAGATTGTAATTTTCAAATCACTTGCATTTCTGCAAGTAACATATTATTTTAACGCAATTTCTTTCGATCGTGGCGTGACTCGGAGAGAAATCACGATTTCGTCGTTTTTGCCCGTATCGAAGTTTACCTCGACGGGTCGTAGGTACACAACGTATGTCCACGAATTACACATGGCCGAGGGGACATCGGCCAGCAGTACACACCGGGGTCGAGGTAGTTTCCGATCAAAGGAACTCACCTTAATCGATTTGTTCCTTGGCACGAATTTAGCCACTACATTCGGGTCTGATTAATTCAGGGCACACTGCACGTGTGGGGAAACGAAGCCGCATCAATGGATTTAATATGCTGATTCGCGGAATATATGGCTACCACGAATCAGCAGAAAGATACACGAGTGGCTGTCGGGCTGTGGCTCACGTGTGCTTCAGACGAGATAACGTGTTCAATTCAAATGTAATTAATAATACAGCTCGAAATATGTGTACAATTTGGAAGATCGCACGAAATGTAAGCGTAATAACTCGGCAACGTAACTTGAGAACGTGAGAAGAGTGAACGATGTGACAGCGACGTGAATAGATCGACGGCAAGTGAAAATATTCAACAATTTGAAACGCAAATCCTGCAACGCGTTGACAACTTCTCACTGATTATTTCAGTTTTTCCGACGCTCAACTCTCTAAAGAGGCGAGGAATAAATGCAATTTGCACGTACACGTCGGCTCGTTTCGTCGACCCTCGATCGATCACGCATTTGTATTCAATGAGGTTGTATTTAATTTGTTATGCGCAGTTAATTACATTTTACACGTGAATTAACGAAACACGGCGGGCGGTCGACGTGTTACCTAATAACGACGTCGAAGGAACAATCTCCCAATTATTTCTCGAGCGACGTATTACTTCTGACCTACGAGTCGCACAATAGTTCGATCTGCGCATAATTCAACAGCACTCACATAATTGCGAGTGATTTTATTTTTACTGCTGTTTAATCCGAGGCAAGAGCTGCGCGAACGTTATTTCATCATGTCAACGATAATGCACGGCTTTGTTGACGGTGGTACGTGCGAACACGCACCTGGCTTTATCCTGAAATGATAATACATCGCCCGTGTGTGTGTTGATATCGTACCGAGGAGTAGTATAACTGTAGTCATATTACAAGTCAAATTAATTAACTAGATATTTTCACGGCGTCGACATCAAAGACAGACGAGTAGTTGCGCGAACATATACACCCCGCGAATGTTCCCGATCATCATCGAAATGCCCGCGCGCTCGCTGTTTTAATTAAATTCTCGCCGAGTCTCTCGCGGAGAGACCGCAGCGAATGGAAGATGACGCGGTTAAATTGTACTCTCGAGCCGAATCGACGACATCGACGCGCCATGCGGATTACTCTAGTAATTATTTCACTGCGAAATAACTCCGATCGCGAAAGAGGGTAAGCCGACGGTGATTAAGCGCGCAAGAGAAAGAGAAACAGAGAAAGGGGGAGAGAGAGAGAGAGAGAGAGAGAGAGGAGGGAGTGAGACAAGTTACAGTAACCTGGGTTAAGTTCTGTAAGAACGAAAGTTAAAGATACACGTAAGAAATCCCGAGTGATTGCAACAAAAACTAGATTAAATATCAAGATAAAGAGATTAGAATAGAACACGTGAGGGGTGGATAATTGAACGTCATGAATGAGGTGGTTGATTAAATCAATTAATATGAAAGAAGTTCAGTTGACATAAAAATTTCGTTAGCTTAATTAACTCCTGACGATCGAATATTTGAGAGATTCGGCATAAAATGAAGAGTGCTGCAGTTTTTCCTTAACGGGTCGTAGTCGCCTTCGATTCGGGATAATCCGCTTTTCAGCAATTTTCAGTAAATAAATTTTCCCGTCGAGTGGCGGATGCGACGAAGTTTATCGAGGTAAAAGTACTGCGATTTCCCTTCCGTCGACCCGCGCGGAATTTACCGAGATCGGAGATGGCGGTGAGAGTGCAGATCGCTCGCGCAGTCGATCGTAAGTGGACACGGAGTGTGTTCATCGAGAAGCAGGCCGTCGGCGCGTATAATCGAGCGCCGCGAGAACGCAGAAGAGCGTTGTGGGGGTATAAAAAAGTTTCGCCGAGCATGTTTCAAGCAATACGAACGATAAAACCGATATTGAAAAGTTTGAGCGGAAACATATAATATCTTCCCTTCGAATATTCATGACGCGCAGCGCGGAACTTTCGCAGTTGTAGTCGAGGATCAGCCGCGTCCTCAGGCGCACGCTGCTTCCGCGGCCAAGTTGTTTCGAAATTATAGACAGACGTTGAAGACCGTATCGGAGGCGACTGACGGGAGCACTCGGCGATCGATCTTCTCTAGAACACTCGATAGAGTGAAGGGACGCTCGTATTTCATGAAACATATCGCGCGCACAACTCTGCTGTGCTCTTACTCCTCTTCCTCTTGCCTTTACGTCGCGTCTGAGGGTACATTCGGTCACGTGAGTGAAACGCGACCGTCGAGACGCGAGAAATTATATAACGCGAGTTTACATTCACCGGCGAATGGGCTTATTAGCGTTGCCCTCGCGCGTCCTGCTGATCGCAAAACACCGGACGCTGCCTCTGTTACGTCGAGGTCAGCGCGCTTATGCGCGCGTCGCATTTGGATTCAATTGAGCCAAATTTAATCTATGGCTGTGTTTATCTCCATGCACGTACTTCAGCGTATTTTCGTGAAAACTCACGGTGGACTCGCGCGGTTATATTGCGAGTGAGGAGGAGACGGGGGATTTCGTGTGCACATTAAAAATAGAAAAACACGAAAAAAAGCGGACTCTCACGTGGAACATCCAGAGTGTCGATTTTCAGAGGCAACGATTTTCATTCGTGACGACGAATATTTCGACTTATTTCAAAATCTCCACCGCCTCGCGATTAGAGCTTTCACATGACTATCGATTTTCAACGCTGCAAGCGTCGAAGCGTGGAAATCACGGGAACATTTCCCGCGAACTGCCGGGATGCAACACCGAGAGCACCAAAACCCATCGTTCTTCCAGCTCATTTAAATCCATTTATTTCGGAAGAGGAAGAGAGAGAGAGAGAGAGGAGAGAGGGGAAGAGAGAGGATAATTCGATACGGGTCGTTTTGTGCCGCGTATTCTTCCCGCGCAAATGAGATTAACGGGATCAAATCGAAGAAGAACGGAGCTCAGCATCGCACAGGAACAATGGAACGAGCGGGAAACCGGGTCAGTCGGTCGAGCGTGTCGGGCTGCGTTAGACAAGTCGGGGACTGCATCCGCACTGGCCGCGCAGAGTAATGCATCCCGTGTCGTTCCGCCCGCGATGTTTTTTGGAAAAAATGGCCGCGGATAGAGACGCGACGAATAAAATAGATGGGCAGAGGGAAGAATAACGCTCGCCGCGCGAGCGAGCGACGAGAATTGTGTACAACAAGAAAGAGAGAACGAGAGAGCGAGAGCGAGAGAGAGAGAGAGAGAGAGAGAGAGAGAGAGAGAGAGAGAGAAAATGGGAGAAAATATTCGAACCGTACGAGTCATTTTGTTTCCGCGGTTCAGCGACGTGTAAGGCGCTTGACCTAAAATTGTACTTAATGGCATTAATGAACGGGAAAAGTCCGTTTGACTGCCCGGATGATCGTAATTTGCTCGCGCGCTCAATCGTCGTTTTTATCAGTCGTCGAATCGCGTCGATGGTTAAACGGGTGATAAAACCGAAAAGAATCAGACGTACCGAGTCGCATGTAAATCGCTGCAATTTGCATTCGATATAATATTATTTTGATACGTCGAGACGACTGAAAGATCGTTCAGACGCGATCGTCTCCGTGCGGAGATTTCTACCTATGAGAATTGTAGGAACTGAATATTTCTGAGATAATATCTCTCTCTCTCTCTCTCTCTCTCTCTCTCTCTCTCTCTCCCTCTCTTTCTCTCCTCCTTTTACACACAGCGAAAAAAAATGAGTTGACTCTCTTTCGCGAATGGAACGATTGCTTATCGTGTCGCGGGTAATTTTTATGTTGCAGCGATTTTAGACTCGCTTTGCAAGGAGTTCCTCTCAGTCAACGTGTCGGCCATCTTATATCTTATGAACTACGAGAAATATGGACGTAGTACGGCCAGCGCTCAATACTTTCTCCAATTGGCCGGTTACCTCGGAATCCCCGTGATTGCGTGGAACGCTGATAACTCCGGGCTCGAAAGGGTGAGTTGCAACTCGCGGGCGAAAAGTCCGAGAATTTATGAAGTGGTGAAACAATTAGGTAATTGCTTCCTCAAACACCCGCGTCACCTGACAGACGCTTGAAATACTTTCTGAGCATTCTCTCCACTTCACTTGGACAATCGCACTTAACGCTCCTGCTTCTTCTTTTTCTTTGGTTCTTTACGGTTATTTAATCTGTACCATTATTCTCTGCTGACTTTCCAAATATATCTCTCTCTGTATATGGGCGAATTTATTTATTAAATATTCTTAAATTCTTTTTCATTCGATTGTTTGACTTTTCATCCATTTGTTTGTTGTTAATATTTTCTATTATATACATTGCTTTAATTTGAATAATATTCGTTCAGTTTGTACGATGTTTTTATGTGTGCTCAGACGAGTCTTACACCAAGATTACACAAAATGCATCTATTCATCTATTCTTCCGTTATGTCATCGTATAATCTTTCAATTTCTCTTTCAGCGCGTTTTTCGACCTCGAATATATTCATATTTTCACTACTTCTCCTCGTGCTTTGATATTATTTGAAGTTATAAAAACATTTTAATGAAACTATTCGTTCCGTGCAATTCTCTAATTGTCCCGAGTGATTTACTATATTCTCGCCGGACGCGCAAATAACATCTATTCGCGTACGCGAGTTCTGCTTTTTCTCTGTCGTATTTTTTATTTTTATTTTTTTATCATTTTTGCGCCAAAGTATCTTTCGCGCCACATCGAAAAATGTACGAGCTCAAACAAGCGGTTTCAATAACACTGGTTTCCCACAGTTTATTCTTTCGCGGAGGGTGTTTTTGTGTCGCAATATGAAATCGGACTGTCCCAAGGTTCTCTCGTTGAAAAAAAAAAAGGAAAGCAAAAGAAACGTGCGTCGCTCGGTCCGGGCGCAGCCGCTTCGTCGGCAGGATCCGCGAAACATAACGAGAATTCCGTTGGCTTGCAGCGGGCATCGCAGAGCAGCCTGCAGCTGCAGCTGGCGCCGTCGTTGGAGCATCAGACCGCGGCGATGCTGAGCATCCTGGAGAGGTACAAGTGGCATCAGTTCAGCATAGTCACCTCGCAGATAGCTGGTCACGACGACTTCATACAAGCGGTTAGAGAGAGAATCTCCGATATGCAAGACACGTTCAAGTTTACCATACTGAGCGCCATTCTGGTCACCGATCCACGGCACGACCTGCAGGAGCTGATCAAGAGCGAGTCCAGGGTGATGCTACTGTACTCGACCAGGGAGGAGGCCACCAGCATTTTGAGCGCCGCGACCGATCAAAAAATTACCGGCGAGAATTATGTGTGGGTGGTCACGCAGAGCGTCATCGAGAATCTGCAGACTCCCAGCCAGTTTCCGGTTGGAATGTTAGGTGAGCCATTGCGAAATTCTAAGCGTTGCGCGCATCCTTCGTTTTCAGCAGTCCTTTTAATTATTTTTGCAGTTCGGGCGGTTTCTAGGGCGACCTTTATTTAAACGAGAGCTATCTCGTTAATGTCAAAGGGTAAAGAATAATAGGTAAAAAAGATCAGAGACCTCCGCTGCCACCACTGCGGTGGCTTTCTGGAGTATAAAGATTGATCTTTCAGTCGATTTGGTAAAAAGAAAAAAACAGACGAAGAGTCAAACGCGACAATGGCATGAATATGTCGCGAACTTTGCTTGAAACTTAGCTTTGAAAGCAATCAGTTCATAGTCTCTAACCTTTGAATAATTCGAAAGAAAATAACGACGAGAGAAGGCGGGATAAGTCTTATTTGTAGTTTCATAATACCGAGATTGAAGTTTATAATAGAAGCTCAGAGATCTTTCGAAAATGAAGTTTGTGAGGCTAACAGCGGCGTTCAGCGAATCTGACTTACGCCGTTGTTATACCCAAGTTGTCAATTATAACTTGTATATTCGTTGTATGCGCAATTTTTCGTAATCTTCATTAAAAGTCCTCGCCGCGAGTATCTTCAATGGGAAAATTGTGCGTTCGAATGAGAGGCAATTACTCGGTCGTATCGTGTCGCTCGCGGAGAGTCCTTCAACATGAAGAAACACTGAATGTAATTAAAACGTAATCAAATGACCGTGAAAGACATTTACGCTTGAAATGATGTTTAAAAGAAGAGCTCGACGCATTTATATCCCGTGATTCAGGGATTCGGGAATAATTCTCGACCGCCGCACCGTCCCACCGTAGCGAGGACGACGTTTTAATTACGAGTTTTGTTAATCGCGTATCAAATCCGCAATTTTGCCGTCGTGTATTTTGGTCCTTAGTTCTCCTATTCAGCGCACATGAGTTGCGAATAAATGTGCGGATAGCAGAATAAAAGACTGCAATATCCGTCGGTGATTTCGACGAGATAGAATTCACTCGAATCGTACGATTATTATCCTCGATCGCATTTGAATGCGCGAACATATCGCGACGGAGTTAAAAGCCGTTACATCGCTCGCGTTAACATTCAGAATACGTCTTTTATCGGCGGGAGTATATGGTTTCTCGTGCCGATAGACGGAGAAGTTATTCACACCATGACCAGAATCACGGAAATAGAAAAATTGACTCCTTCCCCGAGACGCTCTTCCGGGAATATCCTTGAGGGAAAAATAAATTCGACGAATTCCAGCCAGCGAGCTACGCGGAATAACATAACTCATGCTGAATCTCTCGCGTCTGAATTTCCACGGGCTAAAACTAGCGCGGTAAACTCGCACGATATGGAACGTAAACACTTGGCGTTCTTAAATTTCGCGATTGCTGTGTGAAAGCCGCACGGAGAGAGAGAGAGAGAGAGAGAGAGAGAGAGAGAGAGAGAGAGAGAGAGATAGAGAGAGAGAGAGAGAGAGACACAGAGCAAACGAGTTGAAAGAATTCGTATTTCATATTTCTTCCTCGTGTTTTCCCCGAGAGTTTATTCGCACCGGATTTGCCGAACCGCATTTATTTCGATTAACGCGAGAGGAAGCAGAGGGTGGACGGATCTGAAATATCTTTCCATCGAGAAATTCACCTCTCACACGAGGCGTTCGCGAAGGGTGTCACGAAAGCACCACCGTTGGCAGAACCGAGATCGCGAATCTCGGATCGACGAGTAGCACGTCCGCGGGCGGACGTATTCATACGGTACAAGTAAGTCTTGTTGACTCGATTTCCGCGGCTCCACCTCGCAGCGGCAAAGAGGAAAAGGCGATTTTAGGAGGATTCGCCGCACGAATCGCCGACATTTCTTACATTTTTCCGCTGGCACTTTCGATATTTATGGAAATCCGACTGGGAATATGCTGTTACATCGCGCGTAAAAATCTCGTCGGACAAAAAGTCTTACACGAAGCGTGAGCCCCCGGTGAAAGGTTTTTCAACAAGAGCAGAACAAACGCACGCTCGTCATCATCGTCGTCGGTATTCTCTCCCGTTACGGGCGCGGCAGCCGTCGCTGTAACGAATACCGTAGGCGAAATAAGATTGTCAGCGGGAATTATGGCCGGCTGAGCGAACAAATTTAGCGTAAAAATTCCGAAGAATCGGAGAGAATCTCGTTCATTGTTTATTACACGATGCCGCGTCAGATTCGCGTTTCTGCTCGCAGAAATTCCGAATTTCCACCGGACGACAATTGCGAACGCTACTCCGGCGCATTCGAAGCAAAAAAATTTGCGAAAAACTACAAAATCCGAGAGACAGATTTTGTTCCGCACAAAAGGGGAAAAAGAAAATTATATTTTAACAGCGCACCGCGTATTTTTCCGGCGGCGGTGTCGCGCGACGGCGCGCCGTTTGCCCAGAAATGAATGAACGCGAGCGAGAACGCTAGTCGCAGAGAAGCCGACTACTTGAAGAATCCAATTTCTCTACACAAGGCGACCGCGAATATAGAAAGAGGCCGGGCATTGTTGCTCTCAATAACCATATTGAGAAATAGAATCTGTGTCTTCTGAATGATTTATCGCAAGCTCGATATGCTCATTTGTTTTCAATCGCCTTCACTCAAGGAAAGAAAACGAAAAATAAAGGGAATCTTCGCTCTTAATAAACCCGCTTTAATGAACCAATGCAATGTTCTTTTCCCTTTTTTTTCTCTTGCAGGCGTGCATTTCGATACAAGCAGCGAGAGCCTAGTAAGCGAAATCACCACGGCAATCAAGGTCTACGCTTACGGCGTCGAGGACTTCGTCAACGATCCGAAAAATGCGAATCGCAGCCTGAACACTCAACTGAGCTGCGAGGTCGCCGGCGAGTCGCGCTGGAGCACGGGGGATTTGTTTTTCAAGTAATTCCGCGTAACTTTCCGCTAAAATGTCGAGAGCTTTGTTCGCCCGTCGGCCTCTTTTTTCTTCTTCCCTTCGCTCGTTTTTTCTCCCCCTCCTCTCTTCGAATCGTAGAGGGGTTTCCCTTCGGAAAGATTCGTCAGACGTGGGACTCCTCCCTCACCCTCGCACGGTGAATTCACTGACTTTTACGAGATCTCGCAAATTCTCAGGATTGCGTGTGAAACATGACGTGTAATTCAATTCTTAAAAGACCTGTCGAAGAATCAGTATTTTGCTCGTCCTACTGTCAAATTTCCACACTTTAAAATTTCAATGCCGATGTATTCGCTGCTCGACTTATTGTCTTCAAGTCGTTTGAAAGGATTACCAAGTTTTATCGCGCGTCGAAAGTACCCTATTCTCTCTCGAATTTCTTTCTATTATCCATCTCATCGAAGCGCGAATATACACAGGGTGGTCTGCGTATACAATTTAATACCCCCCGAGACCCTCCAAGATCAATTTTCATTGAATTCTATAAATCTCGGGGGTCTTTAAATCTGTGTTAAAACTTACCCTCATTCATCCCTCTTGAAAGGTAGAGTGTTAGAGGATAGCTTTAAAATTTTAATTGGATGAACTTTAGTAAAAAGATGATGAAATAATCGCTGTTGGTGTAACTTTTATCGCACCACTGTTTGAAATAAAAGTAGGCACGTGCTTGCTCCATGACTCGGTGAATTCGCTTGAGTGAAGAATGTCATCATACATGTCAAGCGGAATTCTCTCTTAGAATTCTCCTTGTTTGTAGCCTGTTTGTTCAGTTTTACGCGGGTCACCCTGTACATCGAACCTCTTGAGTCCTTATTGTAATTTTCAAAGTACTCGGCGAGTTTCTGTCTCGTGTATCCTAGCAGATCGCAACCCTCTTCTCTCCCTCTAATCCCTTTAGATACTTGAAAAACGTCTCCGTCGAGGGTGACCAAGGCAAGCCGAATGTGGAGTTCACTCAAGACGGCGTGCTGAAGGCGGCGGAGTTGAAAATTATGAACCTCCGTCCGGGAGTTAGCAAGCAGCTCGTCTGGGAGGAGGTGAGCCCGAATTATTTCGCATGTACTTTACCAGCCGCGAAACTTTACCGAGTCACCGAAAGCTATTGCTAGTCGCGCGCTCGCAAATAAATATATAAAGACGGGCCGAATAATTCAAGCGAAGCGCCGGAGCAACAAGACGAAACTCGACAACGGGGGATCTCTCTCGGGCGGTTTTCTTCGCGCGCATACGCGACGCTATTAATGCAATCAGGCGTTTGCATACATCTGCATAAATTCTGCAGAGCAAGCGAAAAGAACTCCCGCTGCAAAGAGCTCACACACGCCCCATCGATATACCGATCGGCCGGCAATCGCGCGCTGGGAATTTCCCTTTGCCGCTCGGTGAATCGTTATCACACCGCGAGTGAGAATTGCAATAACACCGATGACCCTTCTACTTACTTTTTATTCGTTTCGATAAAACCCGCCAATCGGGCGACGCTCGCAATATCAGTCGATTTTTCAGTCGTGTTTATTCTTCTTCTGTCTCTCTCTCTCTCTCTCTCTCTCTCTCTCTCTCTCTCTCTCTCTTCCTCTCTCCTTTTTTAACGTGACGTTGTCGTGACAAGTGTCGAGAGCCAATATTCGCGATTGTACTGGAGGGCGAGCGAACTCGAAAGCAGCGGGCCGCCGAGTTGCAATTTTGGGGGAGAGAGGGCATTCCGGGCGAAATTCCCTTGTGGAAAAATATTCCTTTAGCGTGGAGTGCAAAGTGGCGTCGAGAGCCGAACGCGCATAGCGGTGTCGCGCGAAAGGACAGGAATTTATCTCGCTCTCGGCCGAAAAGCTTTAAAGGGAACTCGGTGTAGTGCACAACGCGCGATCGCGTCTCTCTTTCGTCGCTCGTTGGATTTGCGGCGCCGAGCCGCGAAATTGCGGTAAACTTCAGCCGTCCTTTTGCCGTCGATCGCGCTCGTCGTCGTCGTCGCCGTCGTCGCCGTCGGCACCCACCACCGTGCGATCGCGCGCATCGCCGTCGAAGAACCACAAACGAGAAGAGCGTTAGGTCGTTTTGCGAGGATCGACGCAGTGACCTCATTATAATCCGTGGCCCTCCGCATTTTTGCGGACGCGCGCAGTCGCCGGCAGCGGATAATCCGCATTAATAACTTAATGTAATAGGGCGAGGTTTTTAAGTCTCTTTCTCTCTCCCTCTCTCTTCCCTTCCCGCGACCTCAGCGGTTGGCTTCTCGTCGCGGAGCGAAGAGGCGGGCACGTTTCTGCTCTGACGCTCCCGAGAAATTGTCAGGCTCGGATGGCTCGTAATCGCGTTATGAATTGCCGCTCGCAAGATATTTCAGGATACGAGCCTTCTCCACCCACCCCTTCCCTCCCTCTCTCCCACCCGTTGCCCGGGAGCGGCGACACAATTGTCACGTACGCGAGACGCTCGGGATATCTCCGCGGTGCTTCGCTAGATAAAACTATTACAGCATCCCTTAATGCGCACTACGGAAATTCCCGGCGAAGGAGATATCGAGGCGTGCGCGGTCGCTCGAGAAAGATCCTCCTCTCCCTCCTGAGAGTGTCTTCTCTGTCGCGTGAGTCCTCGACCTGCACGAGCGCGAGTTGCTCTCGGCAAGACTAGCTCGCCTTTTAAATGATTTTTAATTTCCCGTGTATGCCGGTAGAGAGAAAGAGAGAAATAGACGGCAAGAGAAAGGCAAAACGTGTGGGAGAGCATATCACGAGAGCGTAAAAGCGTTCCTTAAGGCGCACCGCTTTCGCGGTCGCGGCCGAGCAGTTTTGCACGGCGAAACGGCACACACGAGATATTTCGTCTCTGCAGGGCGCTCGCAAAGCGAGGAGCAAGGTGCAATTAATTATATAAATATATTATTACGCGGCCGCGTACACGCGACGGTCACCGCTACATTTTTCGTTCACCTAGAAAGCTGTGGTGCGTAGATAAGAGTGACCTGTAAAAACAAAAGTGACGGAAAAACACGGCCACGGCGAAGCGCACACAAAGTTGTTCGTAAAAATATCCGTGCTGAAAAATATACTATGAACCGTTTGTTTTCGGGAACTATGAGCAGCGCGCCAGGTTTTCAGCATTTTCACAGTTTTTGTCATTCATTATCTGGTCTTGACATCGTCCTGATGGCAGATCCAATCGATTGACTACTACTCGTATCTGTGATGAGTCGCTCTGCTTGAGCGAACTGTAAAGTACACGTTCGTGCGCTTACACACACACACACACACACACACGCATAAGTATACAGAAAATAATCCAATTTCGCCGCACGTCCTTTTATCCGTATCCTGCACCCCGGGATTACCTTCGTAAAGTGTCGGTGAAAGTATCCGACTGAGATTTTTAGCTCTGTGCACGAAGGAGTTTTTAACAGTAGTATTAAGTTTTCGCAACTTTGATGGGAATTCTCCGACGAAAATGCCGGCGGACTTTAGTTTCACCTTACGACGTTCCGTGCGCGACGCGAATCCATCTTTGTCCAGCGTGCTGTTTCATCCGGCGGATTCTTTCGTCACCTCATTAAAGTTTGGGACGCTAACGTTGTGAGAGAAGCGCGATGTTTCGACGACGACACGGCTGAGAGTTTCCGCCCTCCGCTCATCTATCCACTTCGGCAAATCCGCTATTTGTGAGGAGGGATAAGCCCTTTCCGCCCAAGTGGACCCTTTTTGCACAACGGCTGATAAAGCCCTTGTACCGTTCGCGAGCTATTCGTGATTTGAGGAGCGCGACAGAATTTTCTTTTTAACCTGAACTCAGATCAAATATTCCTCTAAAAGTTGCTCTGCTCTTCTGTGCGTGTCTTTTGCCACATTATTCTTATTATTATTATTATTTCACTATCTAAAGACTTTTGATAAGTACCAAGTAAAGAATATAGGAGCTTTTCTTACTTTTCTTACTTTTGTACGAATATAATTCGTTCATGATTTTCCCAAATAATTAATTTTCAATTCTGTATTCTTATTTTTGAAGGCATCTCGGTGGTGTGCAGCTTTGTTGCAGATTTTTGATAAATTCCTTTTATGCAGATATTTTTTTTACGAAGCATTCGTGTATATATAAATAACTTTGTAACAAGATTGAAATCCATTGAACTGAAATGCATGTCGTGTACACCAGAGGAGACATTGACATTTCTCTCGTTACTTTGTTCATTAATCAATCTAACAATGATCCGACAACTTCGTAATAGAGTTCGTGACTCGACAAGTTTTAAAGTACCTCCGACGTTGCGAGTGTGTGGCGTGTTCGTAACATTTTAAATAAATTCCTGGAAGCTAATCCGAAGGGGAGCTTTTCCTCTCTTTATCAGACACGTTCGCGAATGATTAATTTTTTACACGTTTGATAATTCGAATGCGCGCGTACGAGAAACCCACGGAACAGTTTAACAAAAATATATAATATTCATCAAATCAGCGTGTTCGCAACGTGAAAAGGGATTTGTTATTTTCTTCAATTTTTTACACCCCCGTCGAAATGCATTCAGCGCATTAAACACTCGGTTCCATCATGAAAGCTTTTTTCATTAATCTAACATAAAAAGCCGATCTATGAAAATTACGAGCTTGCTTAATCTCGGAATTTCGACGGAGTGCTCTGTAATCCGGGAATCACCACCGACATTGAACATTTTATGAAAAAGAGGCAATTTCTCGATAGAAATTATTGACGTTTATTTAAATGAAAGAGCCACATACACATATACATTCTCTCTCTCTCTCTCTCTCTTTCTCTCTTACACGGAACGATTACGTTTCCGCTGCGAGTCCCGCGTTCGCAGGTTAATACAACACCACGCGTTTGCTGGCACTTATCTTGATGACATATTATAATTAAAACACTATTAATCCAGGATTCAACCCATCGCGTAATAAAAGGTGCGCTAAAATTTAATTTACCACCCCGCGCGAGCGACGCGTTGGGGCGTGAAACTTTGTTATCTCGGCATTCGTGACCGAGACCCGATCCTGACGACTCACGCCTCTCTCTCCCCCTCTCTCTCTCTCCCCCTCTCTCTCTCTCTCTCTCTCTCTCTCCTTCGCATGAGTCACGACTTTAATTATTTCCTTTAATTTAAGAGAACACGCGACGACTACTATCTCGACACTTTGCCGTTCCTTCCTCCACGACGTTGGTCCTCTTCCTCGCGCAACTAGTCGTCTCTTCCTCTCGCCGCCACTAATTATATCTCCCGTTCGTATCATGTCAGCGCGAATCATCACCCAGCGAACCGCGAACACGCCGAGATTTCCATTTATTCCGTCCTGACAGTGACGTCCTTCCGATTCCGCGGCAGAAATAATTAACCGGGATGGAAGGCACGAGCGAGCGAGCGAGACGCGGTTCGCTGCGCACGAACGAACAAGCCGATAAAAGCGAGACAGCGAGATATCGCGGGTGAACGTCGCGCAGAGGAATAAAGCCTTCGTGCGATCAAACTGAATTTTTAATGCGCACTCGATCTCATTTGGAGAAAAATAGAAGAATTTTCGGCAAAATCCCAAGCGCGGTTGACTGTTAAAGAGAAGGAGAAGAAAGATAATAATTTTCAAACTCAATAATAATTCAATAATAATTTGCAAATTTGCAAATTCAAATATTAAGAAAATTGGTCCAGACCAGGTATCGTTCAGGTTATATTCACAGGTTCTTTTGATGTGCAGTTACTGTTTTAATTAATTCTTTGGCGTGCGAGAGCCGAAGGATGATAACGTTGGCATAATCTCGCACGCTTCGAGGGAGAGATATCCATTTCGTTATATTATATTTTCAATTAGCCGTGCCTAGCCCGACTGGATGCGACGCTAATTCTTCATTTTGCACGCAGCGTTGCAAAAAGTACCCACATCAGCCAGGAATGTTTGATGTTTGATGTTTGAGACACACGGAGGACGCGCGAAGTTTCCCCGATTTTTTTTTTCATTCTTTTACTCCTTTTCCCAGCCATTCCCGGTTGACGGAAAGCAGCCGTTAAAAGCCGGGGACGACCGGCGCGCGAGGCTTTTCGCAG